AAAGATCTTTTTCCTGGATGGGTCAGGGGCACTGCAATGATGCTCACATCTAAGAACATTGCAGTCAAAAAGATTCCAAATGCTACTATCTTCATCACCTAATTTGGTAAAATTGAGTATTGAACTTCTGGCTTTCCAATCGCAGCTGTAAATATAAAATTGGACAATACCATTAGAAGTTCGAGAAGATAAAGAAAATGATTAAAATTAGGTAATCCACCTCTACTCACATCTTAAAAATGAGAGACAACACTCGATTACCAAAGATGGCATCCGCATGAACAAAAAAAACTTATAAATTCAATTGAGAAGTTTTTAGCATATATGAGTGAATTGCTGTCTCTGGAATTGTGATTAAAGAAACAGCTTTAGCTATAAAAAATTGTCACATTAAAGATATCTATGTACAGAGCAGAAAAAGGGGGTTGGGGAGCAGAAAAGAAATCACAGTTGGCAACCTGACATGGCGGAATAGTGCAGCAGCAGCAGAGGTGGACCTAGGGAAACGCCAACCTGACCACAATGCCACTGGCAGGTAGACATCAACAAGCAGAACAGACCTGACCTCCCCATCTTGAGCCGCGTGCGACACCACCAGGGAATTAATCCTCAAACACTTGTGAGTGATCAGCGCATGGAGCTGATGGACCACGCTCAAGCTCCCATGGACCATACCGATTCTGCTCCACTTGTTATTCGTTTTCAAACTGGATGAGCCATTGACAACAAATGCGACACTGTTCTTCTTCTTATTCTTCTTCTTCTTCTTATAGTTATAAGTCTTCCTATACTTTTTCTTCGAGGCTGAGGGTGCATTGGAACAGATGTGCGCCGGACTATCGGCTCCACCACCGTCACGGTTCGAGTTACTGATAGGATACAAGACGACGCCGTTTTCTGCAACAAAGTGCGCATCGTGGGCGGTGTCGCCGGCAATCCGACAACGCGAGCCCAAAGGAAGGATATCGGCGATGTCGTCGGTAGGGTTAATTTTAACCCTGAGAACTGCGCGCAAGAAACCGCATAGTTTGTAGTCGGGCGGAATGCAATCGGAAGCGCCGGCGATAGGGCTCCCCATTACCGAATTACGGCCTAGAACGAATCAAATAAACAGATGTTCCCGACAGAAGTGAAAACTGAAAAGAAGAAGGGGTGGGGTAGGATGGCTACACCGAGTTGAAGTGGGCCGAGGTCATTATTTATGGATAAGTTAAGTGTGGGCGTGAAGCCATTTTTATACTCCGGGTATGAAATTTTGGGCTCAAGACAATTTATGAATAAATGACTATTTTCCAGAATAAAATTGTTGCACATATCTTCTTGTTACCTTATTTTCACCATCAATATATTTTTTCTTCTTTCTGCATCATCGTATTTTTTTTATTAAATCCACTCATTAATTCCATCAACTATGAAAAAACTCCATGTGATTAAAACATTACTGATAAATAAAATGTAAAGACAAATAAAATTATTGAGGAAATGTAAGGAAAAAAATACACGAAAAGTGATAGATGTGAGAGAAAATATCTGAAAATGGGGAAATTAAGAGGAAATATAGAACAAGAAATCGTCTTTATATATCACTAACATATCGAACACTAGCAAAAAGAGATGAGATGCAAAGGGACAGAAAAAACAGAGTCGGTTATAGTGGGGAGGCACCTAGGCATATGCCTAAGGCACCGCTATCATGTGGGGCACCAATTTTTAAAAATGAAATTATTATTGCTATATATATTTGTGTTTTAGATTCTTAAATTTATTAATTCAAATCGTGTTCTTAACTTGTTCATTATGAACAATGAGAAGTTTGTAATACAACTAATTATAATTGAGTACTATGTACTCCGTACTACATTATTGATATTTTTCTCTATAATTCTTGTTACAAATTATTTGATAAGAAAATATCTTCAACAGTACTACTACCTTCGTCCCAGAGTAAGGTTCATATCCAGTATTCATCGGTCAACTAAAATTACTCTTAATCTTTCATTTTAGATATCCGACTTTTATCAAATTTGAGTTTTTGTGACTTTATATAACTTTGTAGTTTCTTTATATGCAAATCTTATTTATGAAAAATAATCTTATTATTAATAGAGATCAGTTAACTTTATGGTCAGTCAAGCTTTATAAACCGAAACGAGAACTTTTACCCGGGACGGATGGACTATCCCTTAATAGACAAGTAGTCTAGCTATGTTATCGATAGAAAAAATATTTTATTTACCTTTAATTGTGTTGAAATTAACAAATTTTGCACTTTAGAAGGCAAGAATTGAATAATAGATTATTAAATGTAGTCTTTTTATTTGTTGTACTACAAAGATATTCATGTTTCAAATTTTCTATGATTTGTTTGTGACTGATTTAATTTCTCAACGATGTCTTTTTTTATTATTTATATGGTCATCTATAATCTATATACAATTAATTAATAGATAAAATATTATTAACTAATGTGAAGATATAATTTTAGTTTTTGTCTGGACCAACAAACATACTTAATACGGCCCTGAAAGAAAAAACAAATACTTTTTAGGAGATTTAAAGAAAAAATATTTGAAATTAAAAATAAATAAAATAATAGCCGAGTAATAATGGATATTAATCTTTAAAAGAGAATTAACCGACTAGCAATACATAAAAAGGGAAAAAGTAAAAATGGGGAAGAAGAAAGAAAAAACTACTAAGAAATAGGAACGCAAAAGGCATAAACAAATAAAATAAATGAAATAATAAGAAGATGAGAAAAAAAGTAAAAATGAAATGTGGGACTATTTTGAGAGAATTCGTGAAAGGTGGAACTACTTTGAGCAAATTTGTGAAATGTGAGATTATTTATGTAAGGTTGTTAAAGAAAAAGGCAAAAATCTAATATAGTAGCTCATCGACCAGTCAAGGTCCAACGAAAGAAGATGATGTGCAAGGGTGAAATAATTTTGGAATTACATAAATGTAAGATTAATATGAGAAGACCGATCAAATGTGGAATTATTATTGTCAATTTTTTCAAAAATAATTGACTTAAACACATCAGTTTTAATAGATTCAAAACAAAAATCATCATTTTCTCGCTCATATGTAAAACAGTTTCAGCTGCACGATTAAAAACAAATCTACTACTGAGTACTTTCCTCACTCCAGGTCTCTTGAACAGAGAGTGCAACGGCAACCCATCCCCATTCTGCATCATCTTCCTCATCAATAACTCCCCTTCTTCTTCTTCTAATTCGTCCATCGGAATCCTCTGGAGTTGAAGAACTCATAATTAAGTTTCAATTTAATACCAGGTCTCATTCTAGATTAGATTTGTGTCTATCAAAATACGATTTCAGGCTATATCTAGAGCTCCATTTCTTCATTTTTATTTAATCTGTTTAAAGAGAGGTTAGAGAGGGTTTATAATGAAGGAATTTTAGTGACAGAATTGTTCGTGTTTAGGTATTACGGAGTAGCATAATTTAAGGTTCATGACAAGCCATTGCAGGATAAACTTTGTTCTGGAGTTAAACAGAGTTCTACCGAATTCATGCTTTGTCCCTCACTACTTCATCTATTCTCTCTTGGCTCTGGTTTGATTCTCAGTTTGCTGAATTTTTTGAAGAGGGATAAGTGATAAGTGATAACCCAAGAGTAGAAATGGAGTGTGTGGCAGAATCATCCTGTAATGGTGAAGCAAACATGAATGGCAGAATCCAACACTTTTTTTATTATGTTTTTGGATCCCTAAATGGTTAATCTGGTAAGAAGATTATAAATTCATTAATGATTTTCAGAAAGAGAAAATTAACACGGATATTACTAAAACACAACCTCTTTCTCAATCTATGAGTCGGTCATTTTCTTTCCCTGCACTACCATCCGTGCATGTCCTCTGTTTTAATTATGGGAAAGAGTTATTTTACCCTATTTTTGTGGCAGTCATCTCCATTATGAAAGCAAACGGCGGATGCATGCATGACTTCTTATTGAATGCTATTCCTATAATTAAGGAATACATTTATTTTATGTATGGTAATTGTTCCCCTGTTTTACTCTCCCCCACTCCAAAGTCACGATAATTCCTCACTCGATACCTTTCTACGCGTAGCCATGGAGTCTGGTCCAGAAAAATCACCGGAAATGTGGATATTGGTTAGGTTTGACGGAAAATGGGAAACAAATACTCTATATTCTAGTCTTCACGTCTCAGGCATTAGTGCATTACCATACCGGCAAACTCTACTTTCTGTGTTTTCTTCGTTCGAGTTTGTTTTCTGCTTTTGAGGAAAATTACGTAGGGAAAAAAATGTGATTTCAGGCATATGTGTTCGCTCCTTGCCCTACTCCAGTCATGATGTGTGATGAGAGGACATTACAATTTTAGGCAGTAACTGAAATAATGGCAACGCAGTAACTGGAAAGACAGTCATAAGTAGAAGACAGTAATAATGGACAATAAATTATTAAAAATGGGGGAAAATACTAATCCACAAAAATCACAACAAAAATTATATTTGGTGTATCAGTAAATTAAATATGCATTAAAGAAAAAAATACAAGTAAATGCATAGGAAGACAGTAACTTCGTTTCAGGGCATTAACTACATGGGCAGTAAGAATATGGCAATACAGGGCACAAACATTAAATAATAGACAGTAAGTTTTTTTTTTTGAAAACCATAGACAGTAAGTTATATAAGCAGTAAATGGAATAAGCAGTAAATGAAATAGGTAATAAAGGAAAAATAGAAGTACATATATACAAAAACAGTAATTAGGTTCAGGTCATTAAATTCATGGACAGTAACTACATTGGAATACATGGCAACGACACTTCGGTTAATGACATAGGCAATAAATTTCGCATGCCCTGAGTATGTTACAAAGAGAAAATCACCAAGTGCCTTTTAACACAACCTCTTAGACCATACGGCCATTATCTCGCCAACTTTTTTGCAAGGGTTCGCTTCAGCATTGAATACGGACTACCGGAATTTTAGCAACTTAATTAACTTACGGCGCACGCTTCTACTTTTTTCCTTTTTCGATGCGTAGTATCTTTCGTATTTTTAAGGGCATTTTCGGTATTTTACTTCTCTTAGACCATACGGCCATTATGTCAGGTCATACGTTGGGAAGAAAAAGACTTTCAATCGTATTTTAGGAAAAGCCGTATGTTTTAGTAATATTGGGGTTTTTTCACTTTCAGAAAACCATTGATTAGAATCGTTCTGTTTACATTTTCTGATTGTTCTTTCCAGTTTCAATATTCTCAAATTCAATATACTTTTCCTCTTCTCAATTTCAAGATAAAGAATTTAAAGGTGAGTTAGGAACGATTTACTCAAAAATTATGACTTGATTAAATTTGGATTTCAGTTAGAAATTACTAATAAGCGAAATATGGACTTATTAATGGACTATATGAAATCCAGTTCTTTAAAGCTGAATTATGGCCTTTAATTTCATTTCATTGTACCGAAATGACTCTTTCTTCTAAAATAACAGAGCTTTTCTTATTCTTCAAAGCTGAATTCAACCTTTTTTATTCACACTCCTTCACATTGAAGATGGGCAGTTTATATTAAAGGTTTGAATTATGGGTCATGGCTGTAAATTACTTCAATTTCATGTATATTACTTTTAGTAAAGTGATAAGTCCGTATTTAGACATGCATTTGATGCGTGTTGGGATCGGTTTTGATGGTTTTCCCTAGCTTTAAGGTGTTACAGGTCTCAATTTTAGCTCAAGTTGTGTTTATCAGGCGTTGGTTCGAGTTTTGTGTCATTTGGAGTCAAAATCAGTAAATTTGAGACCAGCACCGGCGCTTGAGAAGCAATTGCGATGAGTTGAGAAGCATTCGTAAGTGAATTGAGAGAATTGGAGGTCTCCGAGAGGTTCACGATGAAGATTTGATGGCAAAAGAGCTCTAGGATTGGTTATGAGATCAAAAGAAGACGAAAAGAGCTTGAAAACGGCGATCAGGATGACCTTCTGTCAATCGTTCAAGCATATCTCCTTGTAGAAACATCCAAAGAACACGATTCAAAGCCCAGATGAAATCTAACTTCAAGGTCTACGAATCCCATGAAGACACCTTTGCTAGAATCTGAGAGGAAGAAGGTGAAAACAGACGATGAAGTCAGATGATCCCTGTTGCGATTCCAGAATGAGACCTTCCTTCATTTTGATCATATCTCTT